AGGATTCAGTCAGAAGGAGGGAATTGACGACAATGAGATTTTCTCTCCAACCGTGAAACATAGCTCAATTCGCGTGCTACTAGCATTGATTGCCCAATTTGACTTGGAGCTTCAACAGCTTGATGTCAAAATTGATTTCTTACACGGTGATCTAGAAGAGACAATCTATATGGATCAGCCTGAAGGTTTCCTAGCTGAGGGAAAAGAAGATCACGTATGCCAACAAAAGAAGTCTTTGTATGGTTTGAAGCAATCCCCTAGACAGTGGTACAAGAGGTTTGATGCATTCATGACTACACATGAATTCTCAAGGAGTGCATTTGATAGCTGTGTGTATCACAAGAAGATGTCTGGTAACTCAATGATTTATTTAATGTTGTATGTTCATGATATGCTTATTGTTGCTAACAACATTACAGAGATAAATGCTTTGAAGAAACTGTTGAGTAAGGAATTTGACATGAAGGATTTAGGAGCTGCAAAGAAAATCCTTGGTATGGAGATTTCAAGAGAAGACGGTGTTGTACATCTTTCTCAGAAGAGGTATATTGAAAGGGTTCTCAAGAGATTCAATATGCATACGTGCAAGCCTGTAAGTACACCATTAGCTCCTCATTTTAAACTTTCAGAGTTACAAATGCCTCAGTCCGAGGATGAGGTGGAGCATATGTCAAAGATTCCTTATGCCAGTGCAGTTGGTAGCATTATGTATGCTATGGTATGCACACGTCCAGATATTGCTCAATCTGTAAGTGTGGTAAGTAGATACATGTCCAGCCCAGGAAAGAGGCATTGGGAAGCTGTCAAGTGGATATTGAGATATCTCAAAGGAGCTTCTGGTGTTGGTCTGACCTTTCGAAAAAGTGGTGGAGGTATTTCAATTCTCGGTTATGTAGATTCTGACTATGCAGGAGATCTTGACAGAAGAAGGTCCACAACTGGATACATCTTTACCCTCGTTGGCAGTGCCGTTAGTTGGAAGTCGACTCTGCAGTCGATTGCCGTTTTGTCTACGACAAAAGCAGAATACATGGCAGCAGCGGAGGCGATGAAGGAAGCTATCTGGTTGAAAGGTTTAGTAGCAGAATTGAGTTTGGGTCAGCTGGAATCAACTCTTAGATGTGATAGTCAGAGTGTTATTCATCTAATGAAAAATCAGAGATTTCATGAGCGCACTAAACACATTGATGTCAGATTTCATTTTATTCGAGATGTTGTTGAAGAGGGAACTATCAAGGTCGTGAAGGTTATCACAGACGATAATGCTGCAGATATGTTGACCAAGATAGTCCTACTCGCTAAGTTTGCACACTGCAAGGACTTGGTGGGGGTGTGTATCAACTGATGCAACTCTGAAGAGAACAGTTGGTATGTTCAACAATGGTTTGATTCTTCTTGTTTCTTACAACGGGGTTGCCCAGTAAGCTTAGAAGTTTTGGCCAGAGTTGTTCACACGCACGCTCGAAATGCAAACCAAGGTGGAGACTGAAGGTGTTGGTTTATGTTTAGTCAACAATGGCATGCCAATTGGAAGAGTTGGTGGAAAGAGTTGGTGTGGATGCTAGGAGGAAGCTTCCTCCTTTGATGTCACCCATGACATCAAGAGGAGGTAGTTTGATGTCACCAATGACATCAAGAGGAGGTCTTTACCTCTATAAATAGATGCACTCCTTCATTTGTAGAAACCATCCCAAAAATAATACAACACATTGTAGTGAGTAGAGAGTTAAGAGAGAAATTCTCTTAAGTGTAATTGGGAACTCTCCCCTTCCTTTGTTAATATTAAAAAGGCAACTGTTCTCTGGTGGACGTAGGATTATTTTGATCCGAACCACGTTAAATCTTCTTTCTTTTACGTTTCCGCTAACAGGAATCAACAATGTGGATATAAGGCCAATCAAGAAGAACACAAATGAAAATAAGCAAGAAAAAGGCAAAGGATGATTGAACAAGAGGCCACCGCGCTCGACCGCAGTAGGTCAAATGAGTGAGGTAAAATTGATGCATTTCACCGCGGTCACGCCGCATTATTCCGCGGTCGCGGTCGACTTTGTAATTGCCCAGAAATTTGGGGACTTAAGTGTAAATCGGGCGAAACTTATCCTAACCCTTTATAAACTCAACAAACTCGCCCAAGCAAAAGGTGAAGCTTGTTTTTAGACTAAATTGGAGGCAAATCAAGACACCATTAGAGTTTTTCAATCTTCTTCTTATTATCTTTATTTGCGAATTATGAATAATTTTATGGTTTTATCTTGCTTTGCTATGAGTAGGTAATTATTTACTCTAGGGTTTGATGGAACCTGTTGAGGGATGAACTTCTTGTCGTGTTAATATAGTTTGCCCAGTTTAATCTCTATTTGTTCAACTACGTTCTTGTTGTAATTAATTGATAGGATCCCCAATTAGCCGTGCCTATTTAATATGTATTACTAGAGAGAGAGAGAGAGAGAGAGTGCATATTTAGGTAGTTGTTGAACAACACCACTCCCAAAGTATATGAGGAACCGATAACCGAGGGCTTAAAGGTGAGATTATGGATAACGAAACCTTGGGTGCGATCTAAGTGAGCTGTAATAAAAGCCAACTAGCGTAACTCGGGAGAGTGTGTCTAGTAAATTGTCGTAATTACTCGGGAGAGATTTACGGTAGTTAGAGCGGTCATGATCGATAGAGACGATTAGACAAATCTATGCGGAACATAACAGGAAGGGATTCCATCAATAGGGGAAATTACAACCTTAGATCCTTCTCTTAATTGTTTACAACTCAGTCATAGTTAGCTTTTAGTTTACTTAACTTTATTCAGTTATAGTTAGTAAAAATATCACCAATTGTTATTCAAAATATCTGGGAAGTTGATTACGGAGAATTCAGTGAGTCTGACAAAAGTAATTGGTATGTTAATTCCCTGTGGGATTCGACTCTGGGCTAAATATCTGGATTATATTTGCAACGACCGCTTGTCCTTTTTATAAGGTATAGTTGGGCGTTATCAGGGGCCAAAAGTACGTCAAAAGTGTTTTTTCAAAAATAGAGGTGTTTGACCAAGCTTTTAGAAGAAAAAAGCAAAATACATAGGTTACCCCCTAAACTATGGACCAAATCCCTGTTACACACTTTTTGAGCACCAAAATCATCTTACACACTCAACCTTTTCAAAGTGTATCTGATACACCCCTATTTTACTACGTGACTTTTGCGTGCTTAACAAAAAAAGATGAGCGTGCAAAATTGTAAATATTTTATCTAAATCCATATTTTAATGCCATGTGTCATAATAATAATATTTTCCTTATTTTCCATTTTTATCAAATGAAAAAAGCTACCAAACATCTCTGTCTCAGATCCTTCCCAAACGATCAGCTCCCCCCTCCTTTTCTCTGGTCTTCCCTTCCCATTTTCTCTTCCCCAGTATTACAAAAATCTACCAAAACTCTGATAATCTTTTTAAAGAAGGTGCTGTAAATTTTCTCTAAAATTACCCCTTTAAGCTTCTCTCTTGTTTCTTTTACTATCATTAAAATCTACTAAAATACCCAATTTACCTAAATAATAAAAAACAATTTATGAGAATGACTGAAATTCTAAAATTTCCAACTCAGCTTCTTTCATATAAAGGAAGATTTGAGATTTTTATTCACGATGGAGTTGTAATTAATGAAAACGAAAAAATGATTTTGATTTGCTTTATTTGGTTGTGTATGAGATCTAAAAATGGAGGAGGAAAATGGAGAACGGAGGAGTTGCAATTATAATTTTTATCTCTTCCATTTTCGGTATTGGGTTTGTTATGGATAAATGATTGCAAAATTAAATTTGTGTGAAGGTTAAGAAGTGGTGGTTATGGCTTTTTCCCGGTGGGTAGCAACGACGGAAGGCAAAAGAAGGTGGAGGTGTTAGATGATTTTTTAAATTGGGGGTATAAGAGTAATTTTAAATATTTTCTCTTTAAAAAATTAATAATGACACATGTCATGATCTTATTGGTGTGTGACATTATACATATTTTTATAAACTGGTCAAGAAATAAGAGGTGTGTACACATTCTGAAAAGGTTGAGTGTGTAAGATGATTTTCGTGCTCAGAAAGTGTGTAACATGGATTTGGTCCATAGTTAAGGGGGTAACTTATGTATTTTGCCAAGAAAAAAGTGCTTTTGAGAAGAAGCAGAAAAAAATAGTTTCTCTCTAAAATCAGTTTTCAGAAAAATACACTTAGAAACAGTTTTTAAAAGCATGGCCAAACACTAATTGTTGCTCAGAAGTGCTTTTCAAATTAATTAGCCAAACACAAACTGCTTCTCACCAAAAACACTTCTCAAAATAAGTTTTTTAAGCTTGGCCAAATGGGTTATTAGTCACCTTAGTAGTTAATTTGCTTTCCTCTTAAGTCAGCCTATGCAGCACGAATGTGAATTAGATGGAGCAATGAATTCAAAATACCGCAAGGATAAAGAGAAAAAAATGTTCTCGCGCAAGACAAGACACGGGGGAAATACTTAGTGAAGGGCGTGAATCACAATTCCTCTACTATCTCTTTACACTCCTCATTTCAGATGCATAAGCTACTAATTTTTTTGAAAGGTTTAGAAAAAAAAATGTGCACTTGAATTTAACAAGTCATTTATCAGTTGTCACATACTCCAATATAAACTCTCTTGAGACTAAAGTTTTCACAATTTCCCTCAATTAAAACAAAAAAAAAAGGACAGCCCGGTTCACGAAGCTCCGAGGTTCGGAGAAGGGCGGGACCACATGATTCTATTGTATGCAGTCTTACCTTGCATTTCTGCAAGAGCCTGTTTTCACGTCTCGAACACATGACCTTCTGGTCATATGGAAGTAACTTTACCAGTTACGCCAAAGCTCTCCTTCGCAATTTCCCTCAATTTATTTTTCAAAAATATGATGAGATCCCATGTACAATCCAGGTAACTACAAATAAAAGAGAAACCTGGTGAAAGAATCAAAGCTGAACTTTCAAATGAGATAGTTCAATAATTTGAAAAGGGAAATTCACTAAAAACAAAAAATAAAACAGAAAAAAGATGGCAGTTTTGTGCCTGCATTTTACACAGATCTAAGAAACATGTACATCTAAGTTGTTAATACAGAGACTACTAGAATACATTGATTAAGACAAGTAGGGGGCAGGGGAATCAAAAGTAGAGGCTCTCGCGTCCAGATCAAACTCAATGAACTAGTTTGTATTCCGGCTTTTATGTTTTCTTTATGTATTACAAGCTCATTTCTCCAGCTTTAACCAAATGTCTCGACTCAATATTTATTATCAATGTCGTAAAACTCTATGTTCTTGTACTTTTGGGATATAATCTCCGCTTGCACTTTCCTTGCAGTGTCTGTAGCACAACCCACGAGAATAAGCACTGACGTGCCTGCAAAGCCCCGGAAAGCAGTGAGGTGTGTTGCTTGTTCAATCACAGCAGGGCCAGCAGCAAGAACCGCCAAGAATGCCGAACCAAGAACTGATATCCGGCTGAGTACCTGTAATTCCCCGTTTTAAGGCATAATGAAATGACGAAGCACTTTGATCTTTAAATCACAGTTAAACTATTTGATAAGATTACCACGTGGCAGACGGTATTCATGTACAATTATATATGCAATACATCAATTACTTACCTATTCTAGAGTATCAAGTATACACTAAGAGAGAGTATCGTTTACAAAAAAAAAACTGGAAAAGTAAGAAAAACCCCGTAAATCCAAATCATATAGAAAGTTGGCTACTCTTAACAATATAGGGAAATATATATGAATCTCAGACAAAGCATTTGAGCTTTATCCAGTCTGAAAATGGATTTGTGTTACAAACACTTATACTGTCAGCATATATATGAATGAATATACACAAGTTTTTAATGGGTAAATTTGAACTGTGCCTTAAATGAGCAGCCAATGAATATTAAGCCAGCCTGCCTGCCCAAATCTGTGTGAGTTGGCGGATTATATTTTCTTGAACTACCTAATTGTGACTTATAGTACTTTCATTTTTAGAAATCTGAAGAATCTATGTCCAAATTCAAGTGTTTTGACCATCGCATCTATTCACATGAAATGGGACAGAGGGAGCACATCTTATATATAAAGATTTAAATAAATCATCAGTTTTCTGTTATCTCCAACAACACGCTGAACATGACTACTGTCTTATAAGAAAGAGTCCTGCTAGATTAGATAATCAAGAGACGCAATGAGTAGAAAGAAAATAAGGCCACGGAAACCAAAGAAGGCAATAATACCGTCTTGATGAATGCTGCTGTGCTTTTACCCGGTCGAACAAGTGGGATTGAGGCACCTTGTCGCTTCAATTGTTCGCTGACATCATCGGGGTCCAATTGCAGGAATGTATAATAGTAATTGAAGAAGGCAATCAACAAAACATTTACCGGGAGATAGTAAGAACCTACAAAGGAACATCTGTTTGGTCAAAGCCCTCAAAATATTATAAATTGAAAATAAGTCCACACATGCATGAACAGAAAGAAATGCACCGTCAATAATCAACTTTTTTTCTCATTGTTTTGCTTATCTCCTTTTCATTGAAAATACAAATACCATTTTATCTTTAACCTTTTCTTTCCAAAACTATGGTCGCCGATAATATCTGTAGTCAAGTACCACCTATTCCACCTTAGAGAAGTCATTTTTCAGCTTCTGTCTCTAGTTCCTCTATCTTCTACGTAGTACTACTAACTCAAAAGTATTGCACAACAAGTTCTACAAGATTAAACCTCTTCGTTTAAGGATAGTCGTCAATTTGTTTCAAAACTTTGGTACATCAGGACAGGAAGCGTATATGCATTATAAGTTCAAAGGGAGTCGAGTTTAAGGCACAAGCTTTATTCAGTGGAAAGTGCACGTGAAGTGAGGAAACTGCACTATCTTTTACTTACCTCCAGGGTTTAAACCTGCTGCAGCATTCCTCAGGAAACCTACACCAGTGAAACGTGCCAGAGTACCAGGAAGGGCTAGTGATGACGTAGAGAAAATAATCGGCATTACTCCTGTACTGTTCACCTGCTCATTGTAACTATAATCGTAAGTTGTATTTAAGAAGGATCATAATTTACTAATTGCAAAAGTACTTCACTGCACGCTTCCATCACAAATATAAGATTAATGTGAACTAATGGGTCCCCTTGTCCCTAAGCCGATGTGGAAACTCAACACCCCATCGCACACCTAATTCTGCCAACTGGAGCGTGACCAATACAATATGGGGGCCCAACATAAGTGAAACAAAGAATTGGGATGAGTCCGGCTCTGATACCAATACCATACTGAATTGTTTGACCATCTTATCTAAAAGCTTAAGCTGTTAGAGAAAGCACACTTTTATTTACTTAGTCTCTTCAACATGCCCCCTCACGTGCAAGCTTCATTAATTTATTTTTTTTCATTGGCCAAGCACGTGCAACTTTTTTTTGTTGTTGTAATAGGTGGCAGTGAGACTCGGACCCAAGACCTCTGCCTGCTCTGATTGATAAAGAAATGAACCTTAGGCCTAACTCAACCGAAAAAGCTAGTTCATGAGGTGAAGATTGCCTAAACCATATAAAGAGACCAAGTCCCCCATTCCTTAGCCGATGTTTGAGACTTAACACTACATATCGCATGACTAACCACTCATGAAACAGCAGGAAATTTAAAATCAGTCGTAAGTAATTTCTTCCACAGGGAAACAGATTTCAACCGTCACTCTTCTCATCCAAAGAAGAGCTGATGCCCCACTCTTATTTAGCAGTACAAGCCTTCAAAACAAACTAATGAAACAAGAGAAAAAAGGATACTAACTTTAAATGGTAAGTATGCAGATTTTTGAAGTCCTCCTCCAGTTCTGCCACTATACCTTGACGCATAATTTAGCGGAATTTTCCTCTCTGCTTCCTGAAAACCTTGGTTGAGAACACTGTTAGCAATTTTTCCCTCAACGGCATGACAAGAAGTTAAATGCTTAGCAACCTAGACATAAGGACATACCTGTACATATACAATGCTAAGGACTAGCAAGAAGAACGAGACTAGGATGCCAACGAGCCCAACATAATTACCGTCTTGATATGCCTGTGCAACTGTCCTACCAAAGGATGCTGGCAAGTAGGATATGATATTTGTAAAGATCAAAAGGGATGTACCATTTCCAAGTTTCAAATCAGTAATTCGCTCCCCAATATACGTCGTAAGTACAGAGCCGAGGGTCAAGAGAACAATAGAAGAAATTGCCCACTGGGTACTGAAGTCATTGACATAAGGACGAAGGAATAATACTTGGCCAATTGCCTGCCGCAGAAATTAAAGATAAGTGTAATTTGCCAATCGACTCTGTATTTACGCATGAAATGCAATTCCTCAACCACAATGTACAAGTGAGAATCAAATAGAAACAAACTACCAATACTCAATTGTGCACCAAATATCTCATAGAGAGAATGCTTCTTCATTCAAGTAATACTCCTACGTTTGATCTAATGTGGCGGTGTTGACTGGGCACATAATTTAAGAAAGAAAGTAAGACTTTTATATCTTGTGGTCTTAAACATGTCATGACATTTCATTGGCTATAAAAGACTATCATTAAGGGTAAAATGAAAACCTAAAGTTAATCTTTCCAAATATAGATAGTGTCATTCTATTAGTAATATGCTAAAAAGGAAAGAGTGTCACTGTCACATAAAATGGATCATGGAAAGCAGAGGCGAATCCAATATTTAAGCTCTATGGGTTCATACCTACTGTCTGTTGCAATTTTAGTGAATTTTTAGACAAAATTTATGCTTCGTGTTGAAAGTACTGGGTGCAGATGCTTGCATCCGCCTCTGAGGGAGAATATCAGTTTTTCTAGGAAAAACAATATTACCTGTACTACGGCAAATCCAACGGAAGCATAGCGAGTGTACTGAAGCACTTTCTTTCTTCCAGCTTCACCTTCTTTTTTCTGAAGGTCTTGCAACTTGGGGTAGATTTGAGCAAGAAGTTGAAACACAATTTGTGCATTGATGAAGGGAACAATACCGAGCGAACATATTCCAAGGCGACCTATGCCTCCACCAGAAAAGGAATCCAAAGTACTTAATATACTATTCTCATCTAAATTGCCAACAAATGCCTCCCGATTTACTCCACCAAGCGGTATATAGATCCCGAGTCGTGACAAAGCTAAAAAGCCTAATAGCTTTAGAAACTTTCCTGGTAATGGACCTTTGAAGAAATCTCCAAAATCAATGCTAGTATCTTCAATTGCAGCTGCCAGTCAAAAGATATCCTAATCAAAGGCTAAGATATGTGGGTGAAATCAACAACATAAAAACACAATTTTGTAGATAGATACGCTACCTGCGAACCCTCGAGCTGATGAAGTTTTGTCTTTCCTAGCATTTGAGGAACTTTCAAATGTTTGAAAGAACAAGCTCACCAAATTATCCCAGGATGATTTACCTGAATTAATACCTAACGGATCAAATTCTGAACTATCACAGCTGGAGAAAGAAAATAACAGTCAGAAAGAAGAAAAGACTGTTAAATAATTAAATCAATTAAAGCATGTAATGTACTTAGTAAGCAAGATATTATGTGATCTTCGTCCATTGTAAAACAAATGAAACTATTTATTTCACATTATTCTACTACAAATAAAAAGGCTTACAAGTTCCATCCTAGCAATAGCACCATTTTACAATTTGTCCAAAACAAACCAACATCAAGATTTGGGAATTATTTTCAGGGAAAACTAATTCAGGACAGTATTTCAAACTCAACATGAAATTGAATAATACAATCCCAGGAAAAAAAAAAGCAACACAGAAGTCTTAATTTCCGCGAAATTAGAAGCTCGAAACAGGAATTATCACAAGAAACAATCAGAAAGTTCAAGACTTTTTTTCAAAAAACAAATGAATTAAATGAAAGTAAACACTATAACCCCAGATAAAATAAGTAAACAAATTAAAGTTTTTTTTTATAAATGTGGTGTATGGGCTAGATAGGGAACCTTAGCTTAGCTGGTAAAGTTGTTGTCATGTGACGAAATCACGAATTCTAGCTGTGTAAACAGCTCCTTGCAGAAATGCAGGGCAAGACTGCGTTCAATAGACCCTTATGGTCCAGCCTTTCCCCGGACCCCGCTCGTAGCGGGAGCTTAGTGCACCGGGCTGCCCGTGGTGTCCGGACCAACTTGCACGTAACTCGATTATTCTATTGGATACATGTTACCTCCCACCGTCGCAGGTACCCATTACAACAAAATATATATTTCAATAAATCAGAAGTTCTAAACAAGACCCATTACAACAAACAGTGAGAAAGTTCCAATCTTTATCTTCAAAACATATTTAATCAAATTGGCATATTTATCAGAATTGAGTATAATTCAACTCATATAAGAGCAAAAAGACCAAAAGGGTATATCTTAATTTCAAGAATATGTACCTGTTTGTGGAGTGATTTAGACCAAGATTCCATGATGGGGCAGTGGTATTAGAGTTTTTTCTATTGAAACTGAGGCTGCTGGCTTTACAAATGGGTGTGAACCTATTTACCTTTAGAGAGTGTAGCTGCTTGGAATTATTATTAGTATTAGAAATGAGAGAATTGAAGCACAGAGAAGAAGAAGAGGAAATTTCTCTGACCGTTATCAACATTATCCTCACACAGACACACTCTCCTCAGGATTCTTGAACTAGAAAAAGAGTCAGTTGTTTAGCTGTTTCTGAGGTATATAGTCTCATTGATAATCACTTGGGTCCCTATAGTTTAGAAATATTGGGTTTTAGGCTTATCTGGTTTGACAAATAAAAAAATAAAATAATAAAAAATAAAACATTTTTTTTAAAAGCGCTAAAACCCTACTTGTGACACCACTCCTCTCTCTCTATTTTGCTAGTAATTCCGACCACTCCCAACTCTCTGGTTATTAGCTTTAACACAAAAATGGAACTTGGAACATCTTTCACTGCTTCAAATGTCAGCAAAACGATGTTTTTATCAGTCCCCATTACCCAAAAATCAAATTTACTTCCAAATTCTTTGGTCAATCCCTTTAACTTTTCTTTCCCAACTATAAAAAACTGTTCTTGCAAAGCAATTGCTAAAGGGTCCATCGTCAGCTCCTTGAAAACTCAAGAAAAGGTGCTTTTTTTTGCTTATTGGGTTCCATGTTTTTTAGATGAAATTTCTATGCTCTTTACTCTACTTGAACTATTCTTTTTTGTTTCTTCAAAAAAATATTCTTTTTATGTTTTTAGTTTTTGTGCTGGATTCTATGTTTAGCAAGCTTTTACTGATGAATCTGGACGAAAAAACCATGCCCATGTATGTATTTGTTAGTTATGATGTGAATGGGTATATTGGTATAAGGGTACGTTCTGCTTTTAGCAAATTGTTAAGTTCAGGCAATGGTGGGGTATAATACTTATTTTGAATTGGTGAAAATTAGTTTCTATGGATGTTTACTTGGCCTTTTTTTCCTTCTTGGACGGAGTGCTGTGGTGTCCAAGCTAGCTTGCACACGCACCTCATTCTACGGGGTGCCTGCCAGGTAGTGGAGCCAAAATTTTCACTTAGGGGTGCAAAATTTAAAGTAGATACACCAAAAAATCAAGATGATTTACTGCATGGTATATATACATAAAAAAATAATTTTACCTATCTAAACAATGTATTTTTCCGGCGAAAGGACACCCCTTGGAGCTATGTAGCTCCGCCACTGGTACCTGCTACCTACCAGCACGGGTACTAGGTAAGTATGTCCGCCAAAGCTTGGACAGATGGTAAGAAATCACTTAGTGTTCTTGCATCCTTTCGGATTTGAATCCGAGGCCTCATGGTTCTCAACCCACGTCATTGACCGCTAGGCCACTTCATTGACCATTGTTGTGTTTTTCTACATGTGCTTCTAGGAAACCTATGTCTCTCGAACTTTCTGCAGTTTATGGAAGAGACTAGTCAATTTGGTGTCTATAAGGGAATTGCATATTTGCAGATACTTATATCGTCAGACTTTGTTTGGCTATCTACTAGTATATGCTCTATGGTAATTCTTTTTATTACATGGTGTTAAGGCCTGCTTGTGTGTACCTCGACTATTTCATTGAGTACCTGTTAAATCTTACCAACACACAGGTACCGAGTTGCTATGCCCACCAAAACATGGCCAGAAAGGAAGAAATCATCTTCTTCTTTTTTCCTGCTGGGACTTGGGATTTGAATTGTGGTCTTTCATAGTTTTCATCCCACTGCAGTGACAGTTAGGCTACACCTAGGGTAATTGTTAATGTAAGAGTAGTATCACCTGCTCGAGTATACTGCAAGGTTAAGCACACTCATTACGGTACCTAAGGCATAAGGTTGCTCTTTGTATGTGCTTGACTGCTGTATGAGTGCCTTTTGACAAGTTCATATTTGGTGTGGAGCTCATTATCTTATTATTGTTTTCTGGAGCGATGGTTCTTTTCTTTTCTTGGAGGGGTTATTGCTTATATGATTTATTCACATCGTATCCTTTTAACTTCTCAGGTCAAAGGGATGTCTTCTGATCATTCTCAAGATCTAGAACTCTCAAGTTTATCAGCTCTATGCCCATTGGATGGACGTTATTGGGGTAAAGTCAAAGAATTGGCTCCTTTTATGAGCGAGTTTGGCTTAATTCGTTTCCGCGTTTTGGTTGAGGTTGTTACTTTTTCCCCCTTGACCATCTGTCACTAAAGTCTAATTTCAAGATCATTTGCGTTTGGAATTTTTCAAAAAGATACAAAGTTCTACTAATCCGTTGACGTCTCTGTTTTGTCAGATTAAATGGTTGTTAAAAATGTCTCAAATACATGAAATCTCTGAAGTTCCAAACTTCTCCGAAGGAGCTCAGACATTTTTGCAAGACTTGATTGCTGAATTTAGTATGAACGACGCCTTGGAAGTTAAGAAGATTGAGAGAGTCACGAACCATGATGTGAAAGCAGTGGAATACTTCTTGAAACAAAGATGTCAATCACATCCAGAGATAGTTAAGGTATGGATAAATTTCTGGCGTATTTTACACGTTCATCTTCTTTCAATCTAAGTAGGAAGTTAGAGTTAAAGAGATTTATGTGAAAACTATCAACCCAAAATGTTTATGTGATGTAACTAACTCTGAATTTATTTTGTTTCTGTGGTAGGTGCTCGAGTTTTTTCACTTTGCTTGTACATCTGAGGACATCAACAATCTTGCCCATGCATTGATGCTAAAAGGAGCTTTGAACACCGTCATTTTGCCGGTCATGGATGAATTGATTAGAGCGATATGTGACATGGCCACAAAATATTCTTCTGTTCCCATGCTTTCTCGTACCCACGGGCAGGTATAATTTTTTTCCCCATACATCCTCTAGTTAGGTGTACTTTGAATAGGTTTGATACGAGAAGCTTAACCTCTGAGAAAATGGTGGTCATCTACAGAGTCGTAAGCCAAGATTTCAACTTTATGGGTTCTGGATTTTAGAACGATGTCTTCAAGTGCTAATAATTGGGTTTTACATTTAATATTTGTACATATTTTGATGAAACTTCTTAACACAAATACACTACTTGAACAAAAGCTACCGGGTCCGGCCAAACCCATAGCAGGGCTTCTAGCTCCGGCCTTGGTCATTCATATATATGCTTAGTGACTGCAAAATGTAGTTTGCTTCTTAATAATTTTTGAACACTTCACTCATTCTTTTTGCAACTTGTAGCCAGCTTCACCAACAACCCTTGGAAAGGAAATGGCAATTTTTGCTTATCGATTAAGCGGGGAAAGAAAGGAGATTTCTCAAATTGAGATGCTCGGGAAATTTGCTGGTGCTGTAGGAAATTACAATGCACATGTAGCTGCATATCCTGAAGTAAACTGGCCACAAATTGCTGAGGAGTTTGTGATGTCACTTGGATTAAAATTCAATCCATATGTTCCTCAGGTTTGTTATACAGATTGAATCCTTTTGATTCTTCAGCACCATATTAGGCTTACTGTGCACTTTCTTTTAAGTGTTTGTATTGGTGCTGCATAATTCATTTGATAGTTGAGCTTTGTTCATTAGTTAGAGGGAGGTTATAGCTTGTGAGGTACTCCATTTGTTTTAGTTTATACGACGGTATTTGACTAGGCACATAGTCCAAGAAAGAAAGACTTTTAAGACATAAGCCAAATATATATATCATAATAAAATAACCCATAGAATCTTGTGGTCTTCAACGTGCAACATTTCCTATAAAGCATGTGATTAAGGCAAAATGCAAATATTAATATCAAAGAGTTTCGAAATATAGAAATGTGTTGATTTTGGAATGGACCAGAAACCAAAGTTTGTGTGTCGTGCATAACAGAAAGGAGGAAATACGTGTATTGAAGTTTATATACCTTTCTGAATGAGTGCATAATTAGAGACTGTTTTCAACTTCTGACTCAATTTCATTGTAATGCAGATTGAAACTCATGACTATATGGCCAAACTTTTTCACTCGATTGTTCAGTTTAACAACATTTTGGTTGATTTTGATAGAGATGTTTGGGGATACATTTCTCTGGGTTACTTTAAGCAGGTGAGTATCCTACATTTTGGATATCGTCTATTATTATTCTTTTGTCGGATAATGGAGTTCATAATTCTTTTATGTTACGTAGACAACTAAAGCTGGTGAAATTGGATCCTCCACGATGCCTCACAAAGTAAATCCAATTGACTTTGAAAATAGTGAAGGCAATCTTGGAGTAGCTAATGGAAATCTATACCATTTGAGCACTAAACTACCTATTTCACGTTGGCAGGTATGTCTAATGCGGTCATGTTTATCTCTATCTTTATCTTGAAAGTTGTGACAGCTTGTTGCTATTGTTTCCTTTGTCGTTATTATCTTTTTGGCCCTCTTTGTTGATATTGCTTGTTTCTACCGTCTCTTTTCACCTTTCTCGGGCCAAGGGTCTATAGGAAACAACCTCTCTACCTTTCCAGGGTAGGCGTGAGATCTGCGTACACACTACCTTTCCCAAACCCCACTTGTGGGACTTCAATGCGTTGTTGTTGTTGTTGTTCTTGATAGTAGCAAAGGCAAGACATATTTAGAGCATGCTAGTTTGTAGGTTCTGTTGCTATTCTGATTGTTTCAGTTCCATCAATCTTGTTCGTACATTTTCTTTGATCCAAATTTTGTCATTTTGCAGCGGGATTTGACAGATTCAACTGTTCTGAGAAACATGGGTGTAGGACTAGGACATTCTCTTCTTGCTTACAGAAGTGCATTACAGGGAATTCAGAAGCTTCAGGTAAGCGCGGTACAAGTTGAAACTGCACCTCGTATAAGTTCCTTTATTATCCTTTCTTCTGTATATCTCGAGATGCTTGGACCGCCGCCAAGTGCTATAAAATGTACATTTCCCATTTTACCAGACATTGAGTAAAATGTGGATACAGATATTGGAGAAATTACTGTACTGTAATGTACATGTTCACATTGTCATGCTGAAGTATCAATTTATTAGTGTGTTTTGACTTATCGGTTTTCCAACCAGGTGAATAAAGCTGCTCTGACTGAAGATTTAGATAAATGTTGGGAGGTTCTTGCCGAACCAATACAAACGGTATGCAGCTTTTGTTGCCTCGCGTATGCAATAGTTTTAGATTCCAAACTTGAGTTTTCCCGTATGATCAATGAAATATATTGTAGAAGCAATGCTGATAGTGTTTGCTAGAATATGTTTCAATTGGTGAGTCTTTCAGAGAAACGAGCATCAAAACTAATAGTCTTTCAAGAAATTTTCTTGAGCCCGGACCCACTATTCTTGAGTCCCTCCCATGTTCCTGGCTTAATAAAACTTGACGAATTTTACAAAATTTATTTTTTATCTTTTTGTTTGGTATTTAGGTGATGCGGAGGTATGGAGTACCAGAGCCTTATGAGAAACTGAAGGCGTTAACCCGAGGAAGAACAGTGACCAAAGAAATTTGTAGAGATTTTATACAAAAATTGGACATACCAGTTGATGCAAAGACAGCTCTCTTGAACTTAACACCTCATACTTACATTGGAGCAGCTGCAGAATTGGCTAAGAACATAAATGAGACCATAAATCTAGAGAATGGAGCTCAAATCTTTTGAAATGAGAGCCGAAAACGTTCACAGCCCTCTGCATCGTTGGCGGATGGAGCAGACAATCAACATGTTTTACTGAATTCAACATTTTCGACACAGAGTATAGATCTTATGTGAAAAATCACTAAGATTTATAAAGAGTTTGATTTTTGAACCATTGGAGTCAAAAGTGTAATGGGTTCAGCCATAAGAACTTAAATGTTGAACCCATCAAATTTCAATTATGGATCCGTCTTTACTCTGTATTATTTCCATCCATGAGTGTTTCTCGACGTGCTAAATCATTGGAGATATAAAGGATCGGTCCCAGATGGATTTGTCGGTCATAAAAAAAAAAAAAAAAAACTTTGTTCTACTTGTAACATCTTTTGTTTAATGCACTACAATGTAAAAGAACTGTGAGAAGGTAAGTCTTGAATTTATTTTAGCATCTATAATGATTTCTTTTTGTTTCCCATCCGGGTGTTACCCAGGTTTTGACTAATTTAAAATTGTACCGACTGAACTTCACAAGGTGCACATTATTAATTATAATTTGTGAGGGACATTGATGCAACCCATTTTAGCCTGCCCAAAATCGGCCTAACTCGCCCATTTGACATCCCTAGTGTGAAGCTCCTTAAAAGAGGAAAAAGCTCGCCCATTTGACACCCCTAGTGTGAAGCTCCTTAAAAGAGGAAAAAGCTCAAATTCGAAACCTTTGAATAGTGGTGGAGAGATGTATCTATGGTGATTGTTACATTAAGTAAAATCTTTTAAAGGGCAGTAGCATTTGAGTGGAAAGAAATGTAAATGCAATCGATGTATATATTGTATTAATAAGTCATATATAACTAATATAAATAATACTACAAAACTCCTTAAAGTGACAACGTTATAGTTGCATTAAAGTAAGCTTTTTAAGACTTCAATAATTGAATAATTAGACGTAGGATGGAGGTCGGAGTTGCATAATATGCTCCAAATTGCATTATTTTTTTTTGAGGTGGCGGCCCGAAACTAAAAACTAGATTAAGTTCGATCTTGACAATAAAAGGTTGTGGTGGTTTAATAAGTTCTCTTTCATACTTAATCATAGTTTTCGAGTTTGAGCCTAAGTATGAAATCGTTGTTGGTAAGGAGCATTTGGGTGCAAATCAAATTAGCGGACATAAAAGCAGATATTGGACCCCGAATAAAAAATCAAAAGACAAAAATAGAATCTCTCCCGCCTATTACCAATCGACGCCGATTATGCTCTTTTCTTGAAAATATCAAGCCTACTCTGAATAGTGTCCCAGACAAATGTCTGAAACCACCTGATACTATTCAAAAGTTACTTAGGCTGACATGATCTAGGTTAAGATGGGCTAAAATTTAGATCATAACCCAACTCGTATAAATCTTACCAAGCTTTAATTAATGTGTGCTGTTTTCTTATAAATTGTTTAATTATCACCTTTTGTTCTTTTGTAATGATCATATAGAACATAGTAAGTAAATAAAAGATATTTTAAAAATATTTTTACCTGCTTCATGCTTTTACTTTTCTTGTCTTTGGGTCAATTGATGTTAATTTGTTTGTTTGTGAATGCATGAAAATATTTATTGCGCTCTAGATCTATTTGGGGATAAGTGCTATTTTAAGTGTAATTGTTGCACTTAATTATTTTTTTCCTTCTTGATTCTAAAGTGAGTAAACTTGTAAATTTTTGTGCAAAGTGAGTATAACTTTAATGGTGACTCTAAAACGATTATAAATACAAATGCTCCTAATGGGCCAATTAGGTTGAAGGGATTATAGAGAAATTTTCATAAATAGATATCTTTTAGTGATAATTAGCTCTCTATAGATACCATTTGCTATATTACAGTATGTAGATACGTTTTTCAGATGTTTTAAGATGTATTTGATGTATTTAGGTTATTATATTCTTGAATACATTAGAAAAAAGTGGCGTGAATCATGGAAAACCTGTTAATAAGATGTTGTATTCAATTGTATTCAAGAGTTGAATCATTAAATACAATAACGTATATTCCATAAAAAAGGGACCTTTTAACTGATTAAAAACGGAAAGAAAATCAATCTAGCAAATAGTCTCCTAATATAACTCAACTAACACAATTATAGCACCATAATCTGTATTTCCCCCTCCATCAACGATTTTCCATCCGAAAGTATCCAAAAACAGAGGATTCTGTCAATTTTCAAATCTCCCTTCTTTCTTTTCATGTTCTTTTGTTACAGTTCGTAGAAATCAATTTCCAACCAAGAAAATTTGAGATTGATACAATTGTATACAGAAATACGTTCAAATTCGATTTTGCATATGGCATACGTTCAAGAAGCTTTTCAGACATACACAACGCTTGGAAAAAAATACCAGGAGATGCTTACCTTGAATGAGGCAATGTCTACACGAATGATACAAGGTATTCTGTCCTATGCTATGTATTCTGTTTCTTTTTCCGAACTCCCAGAAATCTATCCATTTATGTTCGTGTGTGCTTGTTAGGTTGCACACACGGAGACTTTACATATGGTGATTTGTCGACATCAATCATTAGTTCTTCGCCTACGTCTATATAGCCAATTGGAGGTACTTTCGGAACAACATCCCATAGATTATGGATTCTCAAAGTACGGAGACTTTCAAGTTTGTCAAATGCTGCCTTAAAATTGAGATCTCCAACTTTAGGACTTGCGAATGCAAAAGCTGTCACTGGAAATTCCTTGCCTTCGCTTGTTTTGTCGATTCCATTGAAAGCTATGTCAACTGCAATTTGGGGTTGCAAGTGATGCACCTAGGTTATGGCCAGTTACAATAATACTAACCTCTTCTTTCTTATATTTCTCAACCAATCTTTTCACTTCTTCAATTACCTAAAAGGAAGAAAACAATGATGAGTTGTTAGACTCTTTAGCTTCATCAAGGCAAGTATAATACTTTTCTCTTTTTATTTTCAAAGTTGATCCTTTTGATAAAATTAAAGATGTGTGTGTGTATATGATTTTTTTGGTCTTCTTCTATGTTTTTTACTGAAGTGGGGGAATTCAAAAATATATAGATTTGTGTGTTGTATAATTGATGTCGAAACAATGGAGTAATTACATCAAATACAGAAAAGGGTTGCTGGAATAATTACATCAAATACAAGAGTAATTTTTGCAAAAAACATGACCACTACTCACTGTCAAGTATTTTTGAAAGGATTTTTATGGTAAATTGGGGCTGACAATGGAGGTTTGAAATCTGCTATCGATGAGTCGACATTAGGGTTATGCTTTAACAAAGACGACGGAGTTTGGGGCTGAGCAACTTGAAGAGTCTGTTACCTTTTTTATTGTATTTCAATGTATCTCGTTATATACTATGTATATCATTGTATTCATTGTCTTTTTTTCATTGTATTTCAATATATCTCACCTGTATTTTATTATATTCACTGTCTCGCTATATTCCATGAATGTCTTCATTTGTTTTTTTAATTAATATAATTTATGTATTCAGATGTATTTATGTATTCAGATTTATAATTGAGTTTGCTGGGTTATATTAGGAGTCTATTATGTTAATTGATTCATTTCCGTTTTAAAAACAGTGCAATCCCCTATTTCATGCCGTGAGTACAGTCGAATACAATAATCTGTCCAGCTGTAATCTCACGTTTCACTCTATGAATACAGTCGAATACACTCGAATACAACAACTGATCAGCTGGACTTCCATGGTTCACACCTATTTTTGCTATTGTATTCATGAATACAATAGCATTCATGAATACAATATCCATGGTACAAGGTATTTAACTATATATATTTCAAGGTAGCAATGGAAGTTGTATCCTATATTCAGTCAAGACTACTCTAATATTCTGCCAGCATTCACGTAGTATGTATTTACATGTATATACATGTATGTCTTTGAATTCTTTATGTACAAATATAGTTGTATCTACTATAGTTATATTTTAATACAAAATATATTATGATTCTTAAAACTAAATAAAATTATAATACTATATATGAAAATCTTATTTAATATGTCTATTCTTATATATATGTATGATTTGTTTTTTAAATGTAGGTGGTGCCATCGACTGAATATTTGCATACGGTGAACGATGAAGGAAGGCATTACACAGTAAGCCTTTTAGAGAAAAAATGCAGTTGTGGGCGGTTCCAAATCGACGAATTACCATGCCCACACGCTTGGGCTATCCTAAAGAGAAAGTTTCTAATGCCAGAAGATTTTTGCTCTGATTATTACAAACCAAAGTTTGTTGTAATGACATATGAGGTGCTCGTGTATCCTTTGCCGGACCGGAAAGAATGGAATATACCAGCACATGTAGCAGATGAAGTTGTATTACCACCCAAATGGAAAAGACCTCCTGGAAGACCAAAGAAGAAGCGTATAAGCCCTTCATTGAATTGCTGCAGAAGAAAAATCAACATTCGTGTAGCATATGTGGACTGGAATGACATAATAAGCGTACTTGTAGAAATGCTCCACGTTGAAATTAGTTCACAATCTGACTTGTATTAATGAAAAACAATTTGTTATAGATTCCGGTATCATTTCGAATATATTTTGGATATACTTAGTTGGTGTATTAAATCTGAATACGTAACTAATACGACCATTGTATTTTCATTATAGATGAATATAGATGAATACAATCATTAAATACATTGAACTGATGATTCTTTTTGGAATACATATAGTACATCAGAGAGTTAATATGATTTATGAATGTTAAATACATGTATTCAAATACACTTGAATACAAATTATGACAATATGTTATTACAATCAGTTATATACAAAAACCGTATTCAAAATACAGCTGAATACATACCAATACAACATATCATATAAATATGAAGGTCTAAAAACACCTGCTGAAAATATGTGAACATAACCTGGTGAATACATACAAATACTACTTAATGAATATAGATAAATATATCATGTTGAATACTGACTGATACAATAAGTTGAATATATATCAATACAACATGTTGCATATATACTAATCGGTGATGTGCCTAAGAATCTTTGAAGGTGCTTCGCTCTCGCTTACGGCATCAACGTCTATCTTCCGCTTAGCATAGTCCCAAAGGAGTGCACCATATCTTTGGCGGAGTAAATTGACATCAAATTTTACTTGTGGAACCAGCCCAACTGTGCTAAAAAACTCTACGTATGTCGCGACATGCACCCCACAATCCCTGAAAGTAGAACTTAATAGTTTATATTGTTCTGGAGTAAGCTTTTCTTTGAGATCGGATACTATGTTTGTGTTTGTATATGAACAAATATGCGGTGATAATCTTGGCGGGTGTTTCACAAACAGTTTAATTTCCTGCATACAAACAAGAATTGTAAAAAGGTTTCATATTCATCATCAATATATAAACTCATTAAGTGTATGAATACATATAAATACAATAAGATACAGTTAAATATTGAAATACATATTAATACCATTTATATAGGAAAGGGTTAAATACATGTATTCAAATACACTTGAATACAAATTATGACAATATGTTATTACAATCAGTTATATACAAAAACAGTATTCAAAATACAGCTGAATACATACCAATACAACATATCATATAAATATGAAGGTCTAAAAACACCTGCTGAAAATATGTGAACATAACCTGGTGAATACATACAAATACTACTTAATGAATATAGATAAATATATCATGTTGAATACTGACTGATACAATAAGTTGAATATATATCAATACAACATGTTGCATATATACTAATCGGTGATGTGCCTAAGAATCTTTGAAGGTGCTTCGCTCTTGCTTACGGCATCAGCGTCTATCTTCCGCATAGCATAGTCCCAAAGGAGTGCACCATATCTTTGACGGAGTAAATTGGCATCAACTTTTACTTGTGGAACCAGCCCAACTATGCTAAGAAACTCTACGTATGCCGCGACATGCACCCCACAATCCCTGAAAGTAGAACTTAATAGTTTATATTGTTCTGGAGTACGCTTTTCTTTGAGATCGGATACTATGTTTGTGTTTGTATATGAACAAATATGCGGTGATAATCTTGGAGGATGATTCACAAACAGTTTAATTTCCTGCATACAAACAAGAATTGTAAAAAGGTTTCATATTCATCATCAATATATAAACTCATTAAGTGTATGAATACATATAAATACAATAAGATACAGTTAAATATTGAAATACATATTAATACCATTTAGTATAAAATAGTGAATATATACATATAACAAGCAAGGAAAACTGTAATAAGTACGAAAATACAATGAATGTAAATAGAATACATCTAAATACATTTAAATACAATATATAATATTCAAGTAAGCACAACTCAGTTAATGACATTGTAAATGTGCAAATGAGTTCTGGATTGTTTTAATGCTTATGAATACAACTTAATACATACGAATACATCATCATAATTATAAAATCACATGAATAATCCAGAACTCCAGCAACCATTTTCTATATATTTTTGAATTCCCCCACTTCAAATCATATACACATACAGATCTGTAGCCGATGACCCCAAAAATGCTCTCACCCGCAACGAGAAAGAGAGCTCATCAAAATTGAGAATTTTGGTGGGTATACCTCTTGTTACCATCTTGTGTGATGTTGAATCCGACATTGGAGAGAAAATCGAAAGCTTTCTGATGAGTAAACAATAACAATGGTTATTGTTTAAGAAGCAAAGAAAACTCTGTATCAAAATCGAAGAAACTAAATAATTGTATCAAAATCTAAGAAGCTTAATACTTACCCCAAGAACTTGTATCAGGAATAAAACTATAATTTTAGAGAGAAAATAACTGGGGAGTGATAATGGGGGAAACCTAGGGAATTTAGGTGGGAGAAGAAGTTTGAATCGTGGGTTTGTGGGAGAAGGGAGTAAAGTGTATGCAAAAGAGAGAGAGAGAACGTGGTTCGATTTTGATACAGATTTTACGGTGATTAAGTGAGAGAAAATTCAAAAAAGGAGAGAGAAAAATATTATTTAGCATATATGGTGCCTTAAATGTAGGATGTAACTATAATTAGATATTTTGCTATGAAGGATAAAAGGTATCTATAGGATGTAATATTTTAAAATGGTATTTATTTAAAATAAATAGGGTACTAAGCTTTTCTATAGGCCGTAAAATTTCCTTTTTAAAAAGACAATAAACAGACATGTCGAAAGTCTTGCTCTATAGTATACTAGATGGGGCATGGCCTGTGCCAGCACAGGCCCAACATTTGGATTTTGAAGCGGTTGTTGCTTGTTTATTGCTAATTCCGGTAGTCAATTGATTATTTAGTCAATGATGTATACATACCTATGCTAGAAGTGCAGAAAATATGAAGTAGCACAGGCGCGATTTTGCATTTTTAAGCTTGATGTCATAAATATATTTATCCTATTATCGGTAAAGTATATCAATTCCTGTGTTGTTTTAGAATCGGATAACCTGCAACGAAGTCTCGATAAACAGTTGGCATGGCATGTGACATAAAATGGAAAACTCTTATATTTTGCTGTCAAAGAAATGCTCCTCAAAATAAGCATCTTGCAAAGCCCCTATTAGGACATCTAAGGCCACTGGATTCCTGCATAGTTTAGAAGGAAAAAAAAAATCTTCACAAAAGAGATAAGTTGGGAATGATATAAAAGACTTATTGTGGTGTTTTATCATAAACTACATCATTTGATTTGTTCTGTCAAAAACCTATGAGCACTGAAATCACCAATTTTTTCCAGCTGCCTATTGCTTACAGCAATGCAAAACAGCAAAGCATATGTTCCAAAACCAATACTCACAATCATACCAAGGACCGATACACTCCTTTTGCTTTTCTTTTCGACCTTTCTCTTAAAGTATTTTAGATTTCATCTTCTCTGATGCTTGCAACACCTTATACATCCGTCTTCTCTTTGCTATTTACGTCCAATCTTTTTTTTTTCTTTGTTTCGCTCATGGATTCAGCTTGCAAATTTCATTGGAACTACAAGATGAGAATCCATCACTGAAAAATCTGGACAACATCTCATTGGGTATGCCTGCAACAATCTCTGCAAGTTAAACTCCAATTCGAAAACCAGATTCATTAGCAGAAATAACAGTGTCAATGACTAAATCCGTCATGCTTCATAGTTCATACAATTATATAAAATTCCATCATAATCCTACAAGTCAAACTCACAAATAGGAAATGTCTCATGTATAGATATTACACAAGCAAAAAAGGCACTACTACGGTCTCTTAGTTGAGAAAACAACCAATTCAGTAAAAAACAAATTATAATACATAGGGTTACCAAACCAAAGCTCACTGAATCACTTTGGTGTTCAAACAAATCAATCATATATAAGTCCAAAACTGATGCTTTTCTCTCTCAATAAGCAAGTTAATATCTTTTTACGCACTAATCAGACATAGACCAACAGATTTCAGCAGTATCAACCAAAATATTCAGTATGACAAAATACCAATGGCATAACAGTGCTTCTAGCTATTGAGAAAATTAATGAAATCTAGCATTAGTTCTATATTATTTATATTCAAAGATCTACATTTTACACCAAAAGTATGAAAAAAGAGTCCGATATTTCAAATGTTGAACTGAAATTTTGCTATCTTTAAAGTATCTTCCGTTTCTCTCCTTTCTCAAACAGATTAATCTTGGTCAAATATTAGCTATCAAGTGTTTGCTTCTTGGCATATACATTATGATTAAGAATTTTTCTTTTAATTCAGACCCTTCCTGGAAAGTCATATGGTTTTTTCTAAAGAAAATAACTCAAATTAGAAAATAGCCATCTATAATTTTAATATAACATATGTAATTACTTAAATAGGCAGAGAAAATATGATCAACATTCTGACCTAAAGCAACAGAATTCCAGCCTGACTGGAATTAAAATATTATCTTTTTTTTATGAAAGTAAAATATTTATCTAAAGTTTATATTTTCAATTGTGTTGGTTCTTAGTGAAAATAGTAGTCCATACAGAAATCAATATGGATATCCACAAGAAAAATTATTTTCTGTACAACATGGGCATAATATGAAACTTTTCTATACAAAAATATGAGCAAAAGAGGACATAAGAATATTATGTGCCTCTAGAATTGTTTAGTCCTACCACAGTTAACTATTATAAAAATAATATCCATTGTTTGTAATTTCAAGTACAACATACGCACATCCTCAACATTCGTTATCAATAACTTGCTATATTGTCCAACTTAGCAGCCAACCTCTGTCATTAAAAAAAATCAGCTTAGGAGAAGACTATATACCACTAAAATAGCTTCCGAAAATAAATAAACACCAACCAACTATGAAAGTACATATTTGCAGGTGAATATATGGAATTGATAGAAGTACTATGATATAATTAATTATGCATTTAGTAGGCATTAAGAAAGTAAAAGAAGTAGTATATTAGAAACTTGGAAAACTCCGCTTGAATCTTCTTCGCACTACGGGGAGAATTTGATAGATGGCAATCCATTTTCGCATTTATCTCCTAAAGAAGGATACAAAGTATTATTAACTTATCTGGAACTTACTAATCGTTTAAGTGCAATATTTTCTTAGTCATTTATATGGTGGATCCACATTGATAAAAAGGTGACGGAAACATGACATAGGCTAAAACAAACGATCTACAGTAATCTACGACACAGAAGATATATACTCATGAATTCTTATAAGCACATAAGAAAAAGATATCTAGC